TAAGCCACCGGGTCCGGGACTCGAGTTGTGGTTGGCTACATGGAAGTCCAGAGACATAGCCATTACACCAACTGCTGGTCCCTGTAGTTGTCTTTCCAGAAGAGGCCCCAGAGAGCTCACTTGTCCCTTCCACCATCTGAAGACACAGCTGGGAAGTGCCATCCCCAAACAAGAAAACGGGTCTTCGTGACACTAGATCTTCTTGTGCCTTGGTCTTGGCTTTTCCAGCCTTTAGAACCGTCAGAAATAAATGTCTTTTAGCAGCGTGAGCTGCCCAGGTCCCAGCACTGTGTGACAGCGGCCTCAGCGGCCTGGGACAGATGAAGCCAGGTGAAAACACGGCATTTCAGAGGGACCCAGGCTGAGTCTGGAGCCACAGCCTGGTGTTCTGTGTCCAGCAGTGCATGTCCCCAGGAAGGCGTCCCCTGGAAGATCTGGTTCCCACTCCTTCAGGATATGGGTGAGGAGACTTTAGTCACGCTTCCCCTGCCCAGAACAAAGCACGGTAAGGCCAGGGGAGCCCATGTTTTCACCTCTGTTAGGATGGCTCTGCTCCTTACGTACCCGTTGAAGACCAAGCCTACTGGGCCAGCCCATGGCATGCTGGTTAAAGTGGCTGGATCCCACAAGGTCAACTGTGTGGCCTGAGTCCCGGACTCATTGGCTTGAGAATCATGCTGAGTGCACGTATGTGCCCAAAATCCGGGAAGGAGGGAGAAATGGAGAGGAAGGATTGTGATGTGATCATTTCCCTTTGGGGGTGCATTCTCAATCGCTCTCTCTCACCCCCATCTCTCACTCTCTTTCTTTCCAGTGAACACACATATCTCCTGTCAAAAATTAAACAAAAGACCACTTTTTAAAAGAATTGTTTTATTTAACTTCATTTATTCATCTATTCATTTCATTCATTCATTCTTTTTTTTTTTTTTTTTTTTTGAGAGGTTTTTGCTATAGGGCACGTGCGCTCACAGGAAAGACAGAGAGACAGAGAGACAGAAAGCAAGAAATGGGGGTGGGCCACGCTGCAATCCCTTCTCCTCCATTCTCCTCTTGGGATTTTGGGCACACATGCACACGCACCCAGCATGAGTTTAAGCCACTGGGTCCAGGACTCGAACCACGGTTGACTATGTGTGAGTTCAGCGACATAGCCATTACTCTAATGCTGGTCCCCATTCATTTTTAATTTGACCAGAGAGGGACAGAGTGAGTGAGCGAGAGAGAGAAAGAGAGAGGGAAAACGAAAAAGCAAGCTGCCAGGTCCAGGACTAGAACTGTGGTTGGCCATGTGGGAGTCCAGTGCACTCAACCCCCACGCCACGTGCAGGCCTCCAAAGGACCACTTTTACTAAAAATAAAATATTGGGTCGTCAGAAAAGCCATGATGCATTATTGCATGAAAAAACAGAAAAACATGGGACCAGCAGTTAGCGTAATGGCTATGTCACTGGACTCCCATGTAGTTGACCATGGTTCACGTCCCGGACCCGGTGGCTTAAAACTCACGCTGGGCGCATGTGCGTGCGTGCCCAAGATCCTGAGAGGAGAATGGAGAAGGGATTGCGGCGTGGCCGTCCCCCCTGGGGGGTGATCTCTCGCTTTCTGTCTCTCTGTCTCTCTCTGTCTGGCGAGCGCACGTGCCCTATAGCGAAAACCTCTCAAAAAAGAAACACAGAAAAGCACGTCATGACTTTCCCGAAGATCCAATATAATAAGGCAAAAATAAAAACCATTCTTTAAGTTTTCCCTCCAGAGTAACTCAAATGGTGGGAAATGATTTATGTTACCTGTGAGGTTTGTGGGGACATAACTCACGCTAACTTAATATGGGCTTGAAATTTCTTCCGTATGTTTTATCTGAAAAATACACACGAGAGGCCCAGCTGTGACCGTCGATTGCTTGGTAGACTGAGGCCACGGGGAGGCAGAGTCTGAGTCCCAGCCCATGCCAAGGACTTGGTGCAGTGGTGTGCAACTGCAGTCGCAGCTACTGGGGAGTTAAGGAAGGAGGGTCACAACACAGTGAGAGCCTGTCTGAAAAATACACGTGCACACGTGTGTGTGCATGTGTGTGCATGCACGCGTGTACGTACATGAGAGTCAGTATGTCGGCGGACTTACTAGCTGTGAACCTTGAGTGAGTTACCTTACCTCTCTGAGCCCATTTCCGCATCTGTAAAATGGGGATGATAATCGAACCTACTTTGTAGGTTTGTTGTGAAGATTAAATAAATTGATATATAGGGCCGGCAGGTGGCGTGGTGGATACGGTGCTGGATTCCCACGTGGCTGACTGAGAGGTTCGAGTTCCAGACTAGGTAGTTTGAAAATCACCCCACCACGCATGCCTGCATGCCCAGAATCCTGAGAGAAGATTGGAGGAGAAGGGATTGTGGTATGCCATCCCCCCAGGGAGTGATTTCTCAGTTTTCTGCTCTCTTTCTCTCTCTGATGAGTGCATACACCCTATAGTAAAAAAACAAAAAACTAAACATAAATAAATAAATAAAATGGATTTATCTAAAGTGTTTAGAACGGATTCTACTCTATTTATTGTTATGATGTAAATTTCTTTCTAAAAATAATTTTTTATTTTATTTTATTTTATTTTTATTTTACCAGAGGGAGACAGAGCAAGAAAGAGAGAGAGAGAAAGTGAGAAAGCAAGCCACCAGGTCCAGGACTTGAACTGTGGTTGGCCATGTAGGAGTCCAGAGCCCTTAACCACCATGCCACCTGCTGGTCCCTGATGTAAATTTCTTATTCCTCAAGTTACTGATTTAAAAAGTTAATGTTTTTAAAAATGACCTTTGGGGCCGGCAAATGGCATAATGGTTAAGGATGCTGGACTCCCACATTGCTAACCTTGGTTCGAGTCCTGGACCTGGCAGCTTGCCTTCTCACTTTCTCTCTCCGTCCCTCTCTGGTCAAATAAAAATAAATAAATAAATAAATAAATAAATAAATAGTTAAATAAGAGACAGAGAGACAGAAAGCGAGTAATCACCCCTGGGTGATGGCCACACTGCAATCCTTCTCCTCCATTCTCCTCTTGAGATCTTGGGATCTTAGGCAGGCATGCGCGTGCACACACACACACATACACACGTGTCCATGTGAGTTTAAGCCAATGAGTCTGGGACTCAAACCGCAATTGACTACATGGGAGTCTAGCGACATAGCCATTATGCCAACTGCTGGTCCCAGTAAAATAATTCTTTTTTTTAAATAATT